TAATTCTGTGCATGAGCTATTGAGATTCTGTGCCCTGTGTAATAAATTTCCTGTTAAGGTTGTTCTCATATCAGAACAGATCGTGTAATCTAAGATTGCTGGTTAATCAACCCTTATATTTTACAGGGTGTCGCATAGACGGATAGACTCATTTCTAACTTCAATATCTCAAAAAAGTTGAATTCAGGCATGGACGCTAACACATAAAAAATGTTTAGTCATACCAAGAATATACAAAAATAAATAGGAGTTTCTATTAAAAAAATGTTTGGTCTGCTTTTACCCACCCTGTACAACGAGACTAGGAGTCTTCGAACGTTCAATTCACTTTTTTCTAAACTTACTTTTTATGACACGTTTTCCTGTACCCTTCATTTTAAAGTGTAGGGAGTATTTGCTCGGAAAATAATCTGATTCGTTTTTATTTGTACAATAATCTCTTTCAAATAGGTCGCCTTTGATGAATCTGCATTTTACCGAGCCCAAAATTAAAGAAACCCCAGAAAATGTTATGTAGGTTTTTTTGGTCATTCTGAATAACATTGGTTCCCACGAACTTTATTCTTAAATTAATAGTTTTCGAAACGAGCAATATTTCTCAAACAGTGAGAAATATGTCATTTTCCACCCAGAAAAACAATTTGGAAAAACGTAAATTTTCATGTTGCTAAAGTTGTTTCCTGAAACACCCATTAACAAAATCACAAAGCATTTTAGAGTATTGTTATTGTAACGCGCACTGATATATATTCTGCGTGAGGAAGAAAGGTATCAGGTTACCTGTAACTTAGAAAGTTGTCGTACAAATTCATTAACGTTAAATCCAATAAATCTTATGAGATAGAAATCAAAAAGTATGAAAACAAACAGTTTCGTGTGGAACTTTAAGAAACTGTTCATTTTGCGGTCTTGACACCGTATGAACTATCCAGGAAATGCTTTAGCAATATGAAAAATATAAATAATATTTTACTATTACGGTAAATTCAATACTCTAGCTATTGCTTACGTTTGAATGGGCCTATCTCAATCTGCAGCCAAAACTGTAGGTTTTCTATTTAAAAAAATGTATATTTGGGGCACCACATAGTTAATAATCACCATATAGGTATAAAAAATTTCCGAACTGTATTATTGACTACAACTATCGAATTAATCTTTTTGAGATAACATGTGTAATAACGTAGCTATCGATCGTGCTCACTCAAAAAGATCACCCTATATGTAAAATTCGAAAACTATTGCAAAGTTACATTAGTTCTGTCCTGTTCTAGTTTTTATACATGTCCCTTGTACCATTATGTAACGCTACAGCTGCAATATTTCACTCCCATGACATGTTCATGTATAATAACAATAAAAGCTAGATGCAATAACTGTAGTCATCTTTTAGAACTGTTATTGTTGTGGTAGTTAAATTTAGAAGAATATTTATGTGTAATGGAAAACGACTTTGAATACCGTCGAGCTGTATTACTATATCCAACCTCCCACTTTCATCTGTTGTTATGCCTCCAACGTACGGCAAAATTTTATGCTTGTTGTTAGAATAACAATTACGGATATGACTGGTGGCTTAGATTGCAAAGATATGATCGAGGTTGTTGTTGGCACAAGCAATCTCAAAGCACCCAAGTCACAAAATTTTCTCTCTCCCCATTCATTTTTGAATGGCTCATCTTCGTTCAGAGCAACGAATTCAGACTCGGTAGAAGGAGCTAGTCAAGGATTTGTTTGTCTCCTTATTTTCAAGATCAGTAGTGAGGATCGCACATCAAGTGCACTTGACAGTTCTTTCATCAAATTCATATATTTAGTGTTATTCTTTAAAAGTGCGAGTGTTTGCAGATATTTGTGGTGTCAGCGGATTCTAAGACATGGTGCTTCTTACATAATTTACAAACAGTGGCACAAGCCTAATGAAGGTAAATGTTTTCACCGGTAAATGTTATTATTATGTTGTCACTTTGGTAGGCATTGGTAGACAGATGAGTCAAAAGTATGCACTGAAAAAATGTGAAGGAGATAAACAATGCAATGTAAACATATAGGTTTGACACCTTCCGATCTATTCGAATATGTTTGTTTGGGGTGATGACCTGGATGCGTCCCTACTTAACAATATCAATGAGAAAGTGTGGATGTTTGTTACTCAATCGCGCCAAAGTGGCTGAACGGATCCGACTGAGATTTCACATAGAGATAAATCATAGTTTGGCATAGAATATAATTATGCTACTATTTATCACGTGAAATTACTTTGAAATATCTATGTCGGGGACTACAGCCCAAAGCGCTTAATTGAGTTTGTTGGCATGGAAGTGCTCTCTCGCTGGACCGACCGTAACGAGTAAGACTATATAAATAGGGCACTTGCATCGGGCATCTAATGCATTTCGACATTTATAATAATAATAAACATCTCTTTATTTGGGCGAGGTTTAGCTTAAGGTAGACCTCCACCTAACACATACACAAATAAATACAAACATGAATAAAATAGATGAATGACAATAAGACTGACAATACACCTAAAGTATTATACTTATTTACACTCACAAATGAAGAAATACTATTTTTATTAGCAGAAGTGAAAGCTAACTATCTTTAATTTTGGCACTGTACGAGTATAAGCAAATTCTTGATATCATTTTTAAAGTTGTCAAATGGCAAAGGTTTACTTTCAGGTTAACTATGAATTGTATTAGATCGCTTTAAAAAGTGAAGCTTTTATGGAAAAATGAAGTTATGTGGATAGGCATGGGGAGTGTACCAGTATTTGGAAGCGAATATCTCTAGAATGAATACACTTACGATTTATTAGCTTTTCCTTTAAAAACGGAGGTAATTTGAAGGTTACTAACATAACATATTAAGTGATATTTATATAACTCACATTCAACCAACCTAGTTTGTGAAAGGATGTCGAAATATGGTCGTGCTTTTTCAAGCTTTCTAGCAAGAATTTTGAATCTTTTGCAAGCGTTTTGTAGATAGCGAATCTAAAAATGCACGGTAAACAATATTGTAGTTATGTGATTGTTGAAACGATCAATGATTCACATAGAATTTTCTTCGTTTTGTAGTCTAAAATTTGTTTATTGAGGTATAACTGGCGAAGTACTGAAAAAAGACTCTTGTTAATACGATTCAGATGTGGATTAAATAGACACACTCGTCAAGAGAAATAACTTTTCAACTGATTCAAATACCTGAATAATTGCGCCATTCGGATATATGTTTGTATATCTTTTAATTTATTTCCTTAATTTTTTGTGAGAAAATACGATCACTTTTCATTTTGTAGGTTTTGAACAGAGGTTATGACTTTTTGCGGAACTATCAATAGCCTTTAAATCCCCATTCATTTGATATTCTGCAACTACAATTTTGTCATTATTGAAGGTGTTGTTTCCTTAGATAGTCTAATCATATTAGCAAATTTCCCCGAAATGATTGTAATGTCTGGGTGTATGGCTGCAAGTTGTTCAAGGGGGCATTTAAAACATGGACGCATAAAATGGATACACCATTGTTTGTGGGAAAACTTTAAATTCAACAACAAAGAATGAGAAAACGTGTTTTTTGGGATTAAATCGAAAGTGTTGACAGGGACTGAAAACCTTTTTATATAAGATTTTTAGTTTTTTATGAGACCTACAAAATGAGACCACACGTGAAAAGATCTGACTAATAGCAAAAATATTATGCCCGGAAAACGAGGCAATATGCAGGTTTTGGCACGTTGGTAATGCGACGATAATTTCACGCAACTACTTGAAATTCTTCAAATCCGTAGGATTCATACCTTTAACTAACAACATCAAAATTAGAGTATGTTTGTTGAGTTTTTTGAGAAAACACCTGTTTTGCGGCTATCACTACTTTTTAGATAAATGTTATTTTTTTGTGAAAAACAAAGGTTACGTTTTTTTCTACTAAACAAATTCAAACATTTCGTATTTGCGTGTAATTGAACAAATGCGCTACGATATTCAAAAAACATACATTACTATACACATTTTAAAACAAAGCGGATGTGTCGATCATCTTTTGTTGCGAATTACTCACAAATACGAAATGTTTGAATTTGTTTAGAAGAAAAACGTAACCCATTCTTTTTTGCATAAAAATAACATTTATCTTCCGGAACGGTTTGCGATTCATATCGGCAAGGTAAACTAGTGTATTTTGCTATAAAATGCCTTTCGAGATAACCCTGTTTTGAGATAAACAATTTTCAAAAAGTATGAATCCAACGAATTTGAAGAATTTCAAGTAGTTGCATGAAATTATCGTCGCACTAGCAACGACTGTCAAAACCTAAAGTTTGCTTTGGTTTTCGGCGATAACTTTTTTGCTATTAGTCGGATCATTTTGTGTGTGGTCTCATCAGAACCTAAAAATCTTATACGAAGAGTTCTTTGTTTCTGTCAATACTTTCGTTTGAATCCCAAAAAACACGTTATCTCATTTGTTGTTGTCGAATAAAAAGTTTTCCCACAAAAATTGGTGTACCGATTTTATGCTTCCATGTTTTGAATACCCTCTTGAATAACTTGTAGCAATAAATCCAGACTTTACAATTATTTCACAAACCAGTGGTATTTTCGTCTATGATTTAGTCTATTTTTCTTTATTCCAACTCTGTGGATAGTCTAAATTATCTTTCAGATTCTATTCAGTAGTAGTCTATTATATTTTGAAAAATTGTGTTAAATCTTGCAGGACAAACATAGGAAGATAGAAAAGCTGATTTACAATATGATGTTGGTATGCTACTATTTTTTGGTTTTGAACTACAAACCACTATTAATTTTAGTCGAAGGATGGAAATTTAATCAAAATAAAGCCCTAGAATCGTACTTAATAACAATATCAGACATGGTCTTCCAATTTCCGAAAATGCCTCGAATTATAGAGCTTTCTAGATGCCAATATCTGATAAACTATCTCTCTCTACACCAGTATGATAATATAAAACGTTTTGACTGACATACCTTACCACTCTTGACTCTTGGTCGGGTCCTAGTATCAAAGCTCTGAAGCTTTCACGTTCTTATTATAGTAGTCCGCTGCCACTGGAACGATAATCAAAAAAGATACATATTTTTACAAGAATTCACATTGATTAGTAAAAGATATATTTTACTTCTTAAACTTCTCAAAGCGTTGATTTTCGGAAGCTTCCTTGACTTCGATAGCGTATAATATCTCATGACTTCAATAGCCACCTTCTCACCACTGTCAATCATAGTAGGCATTTAGGTAATTAATTCTGTATATGTAGTGTAAGCCGATTGCAACTGATTCTGTATACCATTATGGTGAAAATTACTTGGGATTGAGGTATTAATCGCATAATTGTTATTGAAGTCGGTGCAAATTGGAATTGTAATTACCGCTAAGCCGCAGAATTTTAGTCTAATGAAATGCTGTTGCAGTTCTGCGATTCCCTATATAAAATCGTTACGATTTTGGACGGCATTAATATAAATGCCTAATTGGGCAATTATTTCGAAACAAAATTAAGGTGGCAAGGTAAAATTACTCGCATATTAACGGGTACACAGTGGCTCACAACATGTTTAGCAGCAGTGAAATTGAAAACCAGCAGAAACTGTGTATTTATCTTTATTTATCAAACGCTGAACTAAATCTGTTTGCTTCCTGTCTTAGCAACCATCACCGCATATAACGTTGTATCGTGCTTATTAGCAATCATCAGTATAATATAGGCCTAGTCACGTGGAGACAACTAACAGAAAGCAAGCAAACTGGAATGGTATGCTGAAAAACTCAGTATATTGTGCTCAAAGGAACAAAACTCTGACAACTGCCACATACAAATTAGTCGCCAAATTTTGATACATCTTCGTTCCATACATTGAAAGTGACAAAAGACTCTTACACCTTTGGCCTACATATCGTTGATTGTATGACCAATTTGTGAAATACTGTCACATGTGTTCCAACCTTGAGTCTTGATATCGTACCAGAACCATCCGGTTATCATTTGGTATGCTTTCTACGCATGCGCTGATTGGTCATGATCCCAGAATTGTTTCTGGACTTGAAGATCTCTGGAAGAATTTTGGAATCGTTTTTGTAACTAGGAAATGACAGCTGGCCCATTCGTCACTACTCGTCGCAATGAAAGCTGGAGAATATCAATAAATCATCTATAATATACACAGGCTATGAGACAGCCGCTACAGTTTGGTCGGAGGTAAGAGGCAATCACCTGACAGTTCTACTGCAGAGATCAGTCCATTTGATTCCCCTTTCAATGCAGGTACCGAGTATACTGTAACAATACCGTTTCGGAACGATCCCATCATTGATTAGAACGAAATTCACAATTGTTCCGTTACCATAGAGAATATGTTGGAATAGTTTTTCCTAAATGCACATGCGTGTCACCATTATAGAACGACTCTCCGTCGGGTTGGAACAAAACTGCCATCAACATGGTCTTGAATTGATATTGTAAAGGTCATAATCAAATAAAATTAAACAACCAGGACTTTTCCGTGCCCTCTTGAGTGATTTTTTTTAATTCCTGAACAACAAGTGCAAAATCCATCTCAGTCAAAGTATAAAAATAAGATTATCCTTGAATTGTCCTTATTGGGGATCATGGCCAAAATCTTTCTTCTATTTGGTCGGATAAGTACAATAGGCAGACTCATCATTTCTGCAAATCAGTCAGACTTTCTCCCTATATTTCTCAGAAACTAATCAAAGGGTAACTTTGGTCCAAGGAAAATTTCTGTTCTGGAACGCTAGAAATACATCATGCTCAATTTTTAGACCAATTGACTGGGACCCATATTCCATATATTCTGAGCGGGGTCCTTTGTTTCTCATGGATCTACACGTATTACCTCTGGAACAGAAAGCGACCAGTGTTATTCAAACTTTTCGAAAACATGTGTCAATACAACAACTTGAACAAGTAAAAACTCCACGCATTTTAATGAGTTGTGATCGAACGCCAAAAATACAATGAAGAAATGAAATAAGAGACGACAAGTGGTTATTTATGATCACCTGCTGCACCAACTTTTATACTATTTTTAAGCGTCTTCTAATCATGTCCAAGGATTATCCTCAAAGGTGTCCTGATTCACAATAACGTTAAGCTGTCGGGAATTTTACTTATATTTGCATGTGGTGAAGATGGAAAAAACGAGGAATACAATCTCAAAATTCTACGGTCGTCATACCTGATTTAGAATTTATGATTTCAGAAAATTTCGGACAAACAGGTAGGCGTACAGTAAGATCTATAACATTTGAATTGAAGTACAATTCAAATCAATAGACTTTCTTCAAAAGAAATTAATTACAAATAAAGCATAGTACCGATAAGTGTGAAATAACGGTAAAAAATAAAGTACAGTTGAACGTTTCCTATGTACAATAAAAACTTATTCAATTACTGAAAACAGCACATAGACAAAATATCCAGACCCAAAACTTCTACTAAACGGTTAAAATCTTGTTTAATCTGTTCAATGGCAAGTAGACCACTTCTACTTTCATCCAGAATCATCAGCCATTTAGCGGCACGGCTATTAAACACGAACTGAGATCCATGATGGTTCCGACTAATAGCAGCGGTGCGCGATCCACAATGGTCGATTCTGGTGTCATGCTTCTACTAAATGGGTAATAAAGCACAAGATGTTCACTCGAAAAATAAAGTCAAGTAGGTTGACCCTGCAATTCCCACCTAACGTTGTCATCAGTTCTAAGGACTATTCTTACAAGAAAAACATTTAACTGCGAACCTGTATAACACAAAAAAGAACTGAATGGATCAAGTAAACCAAGCAGGCCTATGCAATTAGTTCATAGTGCCACCAAGCTGATAACACTGCGATCTAGAACCTCTTTCCTGCCGTCACTGAAAATATTGACCATCTGGCAACGTCAACCGTGCTATGCTAACCAGCCCGAGCAGCGTGGCAGTGGAGAGATACGCCGGCAGTTACAGACATGATTTTGTGGGCACCGGAGTTGATAGCGTCGGCAAGTGCGACATAGATGTGACATGTCCATTTGATATTTCTTCAAGTTTTGAGAGTAGTACGGGTAATGATATATGCATTGATAGGTGCGTGGAATTAGCGGGATTGGAAGCTAATGAATTTACCATCGAAAAAAAATTGAGATATACTCCTCTCCGCCCCCTACAACACCCAACATCCCCATAACAGTTTAAAATTTGGTCTGAATATAATCAGGAGCCTCTAAAATGTCTAAAAAAATGAAGTCTCAGCGATTTTTATTCGGTTTCCGCCTGTAGCTGCGTCGCCAGTGGACCGGTTTTCAAAAACTACAAAGATTTGTCGTCCTTGGCATAGTAGAAGCCTTGCTTGAAAATTTCAACAAAATCCGAGCGGACCTTCCACAATTACAGACGGACCAAGCATTATCGGACAGACAGACCGGCAGACAGACCGATGGAAACGAATGACACGATTTTTCGTCACGTAAATGCCATACAACATCAATACATAATATGTCATAAGTACAGTGAATAAACAGCATTAGATAAATTTATAGAATCTGATCAATGCAAGTACATAATTACACTACAGCGGATCACTAATTAAGTAAGCTCTCTACTGTTTGCCGTGGTTGATTTAGAATGAATTGTAGGGGAAGAGTGCTATACATACACCTCAGAAGCAGTAAATGCATATGAAACTGTACCAACATACTTTTTGAAAAATGTAACGAACTGGTGTTATGGGCATTCAATTATCAAACTCTCCTCAATAAAAAAAATTCTTTTTTTTTATTGATAATAACCGATAATAGGTTTTCTTTAAAAGCTTATCTTTTGCGTATAGTAGAGGGAAAAAGTTCTAAAATAAACCAGAATTATTTTGAATAATAAGTCATATGCATTTCAGAAAATGTAACTAAATTTAAAATGAAATTAAACTAAATGTTTTAATTTATTAACCAAAACCATTAGTTATTTTCTTATACCTACATATTTATACTAGTTAGGTAGAACAACGGCAATATTTTTAGCCATGCAGTTAAACGTGATAAATTTTGATAGTGATTTCTTATTATAAGTTGCGTATTTCTCTCCATACTCTAACCAGAGTCCGACTACACTGACGAAGGACTTTGCACGTACATTGCAATGAACAAATTACAGATTAAAGGCACAGAGCGCAGCGCAGGGCGTATGGTTCGGAAATTTCGAAATTCAGATACATGACAATCGGCATTGTGCAAAATACTTATTGATTATTAGGTTTCCCAATTTCCTGGGCAATTTTCTTGATTTTTCTTTCCATAAGAGCCTTCTATGCAGTATTAAGAAACTTTTGAAAAAAGATGTTTGATATCGGTAAAGTCGTTCTCTAGTTATGGCGTGGCCACGGGAAATAGGGATTCATTTTTATTTACTACTGTGATCAAAAAGTAAGGTGAAATTGTTTATAAAATGTAAATTCTTCATTTATGCTTCAAAATCAATTTCATCCCCTGCAAAGTAATCCCCGACCGATAAAACGCACTTCTGCCAACGCTTTTCCAGTCCTCAAAACAGTCGGAATAGACTTTTTCCGGTATAGATTCGGTTTTTATCTCCTCAATCGTGTCAAAACGGCGTCTCCGCATTGGCCTTTTGAGGTTGCTGAATAGCCAGAAGTCGCACGGAGCCAAATCGAGCGAATACGGTGGTTGCGGAACGATATGAGTCGAGTTTTTTGGCAAAAAAAAGTCGCGAGGAACCAATGCAGTATGACATGGTGCATTATCGGGATCAAGGAACCAAGAGTTGTTCGCCTTTAATTCCGGCCGTTTCAGACGAATAGCTTCACGCTAACATCGCATAGTTACCTACCAACTTAGGGAAAAAGAATTTACCTGCCTCCCTACTGCCCGGGGTTTTAAATGATAATTTCACCTTAATTTCTGATCAGAGTACCTAAGTATACTAAGTGACATATAAATCCGAACACCCAGTTGGTTTTATTTTAATAAAATTTTGTATAAGTACTTAATGAAGCATAATAAGTAAATGATAAAAATTTCAAAATGATTGCACTGCTTTAAAGCCCTTTGACCTTTAATAATGTGTGGATGCAACCTGATGTGCTACGCATTCTCCAACGCGCCTAGGCATGCTTCTGATCAGGTGGTCAATGTCCTCCTGAGGTATCTCATTCCAGGCAACCACCAACTCCTCTCGAAGTGCTTCTAGAGTCTGAGGACGTTGCAAATTGAGCAATCTCCTACCCATCATATCCCACACGTGCTCAATTGGGG